AAAAGTATTTTTTCCTCCCATAAAAAAAAAAAAAAGTATTTTTTCCTCCCATAAAAAAAAAAAAAAGTATTTTTTCCTCCCATAAAAAAAAAAAAAAGTATTAACCACAGACATCAAACACTTCAGTTCGCATCCTCCGAGCCATGACTGCGGAGGGGAGAGCGAGCACAAGGAGCAGATAAAAGTGTTTCTTTGCCGCCGCCGCTCTGCGAAGTTGCAGTTGTCGAGAGGCCGATGCGCGAGCTGACGGAACCCCAAGGGCTGACGCTGCCCCACTATGGTAAGCGGAGAAGGCTGGAATTATTCAAGAGCTTACAGTAACGCAAAGAGAGGGCGATTACAGAAATCTGATTTTCGGGACAGATGAACGGCACAGGGCCGGCCGGGCACGGCTGCAGGCGTAGCCCATGCCTGCCCTTTCCGTGGGGCGGCAAATCAAGTTTACTACGACTTCACCACCTCTTTTTAAACCCAAGTAGAAATAGGAATGCCCGATCCGGCTGAGCAGAGGCCAGAGGCGAGCCGTGCAGCCGCGTCTGGGACCCTGCTGCCCTAATGTTACGCTGTACATTATTTTAGAGGAATTAAGCACCACGCGGTACTTGAGGAGAGAGCTAAGAGAGCAGTTCAGCTCTACTCTCACTTTCTGCCGCTAATCCACCGGGTATCACTGGGCGGGTTTCTCACGAGTGAAGCGGGATGAGGACAGGGAGCTTTCTCACCTGACATCTATCAGTAATTACTCATGTCCCAGCTCACGGCTCATTACCAAAATAGTCCCGGCTATGCACCGGGTAGAGGGAAACCAGAGCTCCTTCGGTTACGCGCGAGAGGGAACAGCAAAGTCTCCCGTCCTATACTTGGTTTGGGTATAGGTTATGCTGTTTCTTAAAAATAGAAATGAAAAGGAGCGCTGTGCAAACGGCCCCTCTCAGCGCACAGCCCCAGCCAGCAGCCACGGCAAAAACGCCTTCGGATCTCTGAATTTCAAGAGAACTACTGGGGGGAAAGAATCTTTTCATCCACCCCAAAACAGTCTCCCAGTCGTCAAGATATTTGGAGAGTTAACCCAGTCCTACGCCCCATCAAAGCCCAAAGGTCGGGAAAGCAGTGAGGGAACACTGATTTGTGCAGAACCATAAGTGAACAGAGAACCCCAGCTTCCACTGGGCATGTCTCTAGGACAAGAGGAAATGGCCTCAAGATGCACCAGAGGAGGTCAGGATGGATATTAGGAAAAATTTCGTCACCAAAAGGGTTATCAAACATTGGCACAGGCTGCCCAGGGCAGTGGCGGAGACGCCATCCCTGGAGGTCCTTAAAAGCCGGGCAGCCGTGGTGCTGAGGGACATGGGTTAGTGGTGGTTTGGGCAGTGTGAGGTCGATGGTTGGACTCGATGATCTTCAAGGTTCCTTCCAACCTAGAGGACTCTATGATTCTATGTTTTATTTTCAGTAGCGACTCAATTGTGGCTCATCTTTAAAACATTTCCAAAAAGAGGTCAAGCTTTTTCTTCTTTTTTTTTTTTTTTCTTAAATTAATTAATTCTACACTAACACATTGTTCCTGTTTGGATACAAGGAGAGAAGGACTCCAAAGGACCTCAGAGCTCCAGGAAGCAAGGACCTGAAAACTGTGTGGAGCCGAAGAGCTGCTCCATGTGTGAGACTGCCCCAGCGCCCATCTGCCGGAGACACCTCCAAAGCAGCTGCCTCAAGCCCAGCCATCTCCTCCCTAGATGTGCCACCACCACCACAGCCCCCACGCTCCTGAGTGCTAGCGGGGAGCTGTGAACGGAGATCGCCGTAAGGATGTTCTTCGTGTCCTTCCTCATACGGGCAGGCAGCGTTAGACACAAACCTGCTTCTCTGTCTTCAGTGGCTCGCTGCAATGCTCTCCCAGTCTTCTGGCCTCCCAGAGCCATCCACGCTCCATCCTTGTAGACACAAATCCATGTGGCTTCTCGCTACCCTTCATGCCCACCGGCCAAGACAGGCCCAACGCATTGATGTGGGCTCTGCAGAGCAGCCCTGGGAAACACACGGGTTTAGGGGGTCACTTGGGGTAAGAGGAATCAACTCAGAAGACTCCCCACGCGAGCAGACCTGAAGGACGCAGGGACTTCTCCAGCATCATCCCTCTGCTCGTGAACACCCACTCCAGGGCTCCGCCCAACGCCCGGCACTCGTGGGGACACAACGCAGGGAACGGCATTTCGGTCCGAGCAAAACAGTCAAACCTAACGCACGTTCATTCTTTACCTTAATTAAAAGGCCTCTAATTGGGTCCAAACACCATCAGCCAGGGGAACACTGAAGTGTAAAGAATTCACCAACGTCCTCAGCTCTAACAGCACAGCACGAGGGTTCACTGCCCGTTTACAGAGTGTCTTATCCCCGCGGACCAGATCAGAAAAGCCTGAGAAAAACAAGAATTTGGTTTTCCCCTCCCATCAGCGCCCTGGCCTGGATCACAGCATCGCCCTGCAAAGAGCTGAGTCAGCACAACAGTGAGGCAGCACAGGAACGAGCATCCGCCCCCAAAAACCAGCGCCGCTGCCGCGCTGTCCTCCCCCTGAAACGATGGCCTGGGCGCGCTGAGGTCAGGAAGTGAGCGCGACCAGAGCCTTAAGACAGGAAGTTTCTGTGTTTGCTATTTTTGTGTAAAGACACAAAGCAAAATAACCGCGCGTGACCCCGGAGGCAGCGTCGCCGACATCCTCCCGCAGCCCCGGGCTGGCTGGGAGCTCGGCAGCCGGCTGCATCGCCCGTGGAGATGGTGAAGGTAAAGGCACCGACCTCTTCCACAGGTGAGATCCTTTTCTGAACACCCACCCAGCTAAAGGGCTCGCGTCCCGCTATGGGACAAGTGATGTTCACAGGACCGACAGCCACCACTACAGCCGTGACCTGGCACAACGTCTCGCTCTGCCAAGCGAAACAAGCGTGCCTGGAAGCTTCCATCTCCTCCTCAGTCGCTCGTATTCTCCATCAGAGAATCCGTCATTCACGGACACTCCAGAGCTGCAATATTAAGGGACAGAGGGTTCACAATACTTTGTGTAATTAAATCCGTAGATGGTAGCGCCCCGGAACACGGCGTACTTAAACAATTATGGGAAACGAGTAAGTGGTTCACGCACTAATCAACTTCTGTATAACCTTGTGGGACAGCTAATTATACAAAAGTCAGACCACATCAGTACAGGACTGGGGGCTTATTCTCCTGCAAGTCAAACCCTCAACGCTCCGGCATTCTGCTGCTCTCCACAAAACATCACATTAAGCGCAGGCGCTGCCGGCCCCGTGCCGCCGGCAGTCAGCATCCCAAACAGCCGTCCCACTGAATCACAGACGAAAACATTAACGCGCTGCCTTCCAAAAACGTGGTTACAGGGATTTTATGTTGACCGTGTGTTTTCATAAACCAGCAGCATTAGAAAGCAGTATCCGTCCACACAGCCTCGACCGCCGCTCCAGCAGAGCGCTGCGCCCCGCAGTCACGCCACGGCACGTGGTGGTTTTGGTGGGCAGGCAGCGGCGGTTCCCTGGGCAAGCAGAGGTTTTTCTTGACGCACTGAACCAACACAACCTTCCTCGGTGGTGGCTCTGAAAGCTAAGCTTCACAAACGCTATACCCACAGACGCGTGTCGTCTGCAGCCAACGGCACAGAGCAGCACCCAAAGGTGTCCCGAAGCCCAAACCTGGACCAGGACAGGAAGATGCTACATAAGCACTGAACCAAAGGAACAAACACCTTACTCTGTGCTTTCCCTGCCCTCACCTTCACACTCCCACTTCCTAAAATATATTCGGAGCATTTTATGAATCATAGAACGGTTTGGGTTGGACGGGACCTTAAAGATCATCTTGTTCCAACCCCCCTGCCCCGGGCAGGGACACCTCCCCCCAGCCCAGGTTGCTCCGAGCCCCGTCCAACCTGGCCTTGAACACCTCCAGGGATGGGGCAGCCACAGCTTCTTGGGGCAACCTGCCCCAGGGGATCACCGCCCGCACAGGGAAAAATTTCTTCCTGACATCTCATCTAAATCTCCCCTCTTCCAGTTTGAAGCCATTCCCCCTGACCCTATCAAGCAAGGTTTTCATTTTAAGCATTACAAAAATCAAGTGTTTTCTCATGTATAAGATCTGATTTCCAGCATTCAAGATAAGATCTGAGAGTGGTTTTATTTTAGGACGGAGGAGACGGACAGCTTTTTAATACATTCACAGGTTTTGTTTTCCCGCAACTTGAAGCCATGCTTCTTTGTGGAAGAAACCCAAACGTTAATCCCAGAAGAGTTACGAACATTAAAATATTTCAAAAATATTCTATTTCTTAAGTAACTAACCAATCCGTTACACAGCGGAGCAGTAAAAATGACACTCTTGGGAGGAGCTGCAGAACAGCCACGGGGCTCTGACAGCTCTACATTACCCCGTTGTCCCAAACGTACACTAATAAATACCACACCACGGTGGAGCGTCAATAAGGGGGAGAAGGGAAAATAGGCACAGAGGGAGACAGCCCAATGAAATACGTGTGTCATTCATCTACCAACCTACCCTGAACGCGGCAGGCTTGGATCTGGCACTCAGTTGTGAACTGGTGTTCCCTGTAGTGCCACTCACCGCCGCGCTTTGAGCCTCCTACGGCATTGCCTGTCCGCACGGACCAACCCAAAGTCTCCAGCAAAAAGGCACATACGTCCTACCTTCCACAAGAAGCATCACAAGATGGCTTTTACTAGCTCTCAACAATTTACAGTCATTCCCAGGGGCTTTAACGACCTGCTCGATGCTGCATGACCCCATGCGATCACAGTTGGTGCATACAGAGTTGTTTAAAACCTTCTGTGTTTCTGTGAAACCATCAGCTATTTTTAATCACGTACGAAATAAAATCTGCCAGGGTTTCTGTACAATTTAGCAAGCTGGTTTAACGTGGAGGTTTTAAACCGGATCCAGTTGGACGTTGGCACGCGAAGGAACACTCTACCTGACTGGTTGTTCCTCATGCGGATGGCTTTCGCTTTGGCCAGCTCCAGGGCCGTCACCCAGCGCTGCCTCTCCACTTCTGAGTTCGCCTTTAAGTGGTACGTCCTTCCCCCGTTGGAAAGCACGATGTTACAAGAATCCTCCGTATCGATATGAGCCGTGGACAGGTTGATGGTCCCGCGACACGTGTGGGCCATTTCCGCCTGCGTCCTGCATGGGAACAGAGGGAAAAGGAAACGTCAGTCCCCCTGTGCCCAGCCTGTCCCCAAAACACCACCCACACACCCTCCCGTACAGCAGAGACCCGCGGAAACACCCTGAGCAGGCAGCAAGCCCACGGAAGCCACCAAAGCTAGACAAGCTCCTCAAACAGAAAGACAAAGGACCGGGCTCTGGCATTTGGATAGAGCTCGATCACTTGTATGAACATCACCCCAGCTTTTAGGCTGTTGTTTTTCATCCTGCTGCACCGATTGCTTCTGAGTGTCCTAAAAGTAAAATCACCAACTACTGCGCACCACTGCCTTTTCTTATCTCATTTGCATTGCTGCTTTTCTCCCTTCTCCCTACTATCCCACCTCCAGCATCTATTGGAGAATGGCTGGAGAGCAGCCCTGAGGAGAAGGCCCTGGGGGTGCTGATTGATGAGAAGCTCAACGTGAGCCGGCAGCGTGCAATCGCAGCCCAGAAGGCCAACCGTGTCCTGGGCTGCATCAGAAGAAGTGTGACCAGTGGGGCGAGGGAGGGGGTTCTGCCCCTCTGCTCCACTCTGGTGAGACCCCACCTGGAGTGCTGCCTCCAGCTCTAGAGCCCCCAACAGAGGAAAGACATGGACCTGTTGGAGCGTGTCCAGAGGAGGCCACAAAGATGCTGGGAGGGCTGGAGCCCCTCTGCTGGGAGGACAGGCTGGGAGAGTTGGGGGTGTTCAGCCTGGAGAAGAGAAGGCGAAAAAGGGGAGACCTCAGAGCCCCTTCCAGTGCCTAAAGGGGCTCCAGGAGAGCGAGGGTGGTGAGCCCCTGGGGCAGGTTGCCCCGAGAAGCCGTGGCTGCCCCATCCCTGGAGGTGGTCAAGGCCAGGTTGGACGGGGCTTGGAGCAACCTGGGCTGGTGGGAGGTGTCCCTGCCCAGGGCAGGGGGTGGAACGAGATGATCTTCAAGGTCCCTTCCAACCCAAACCATTCTATGGTTCTATGATCCAGTGCGCTGTGGCTCTTTACAGCCTCCCGTCTAGGTGTGCTAAGATCTTGCATGCAAAGATCTCCACTTGTAAAGCAAATGAAAGCAGCGCAATTCCTCTTCAACTGTTAAAACACCTTTGGAAAATTGCTTCCCACCTCCCTAGGCTCACCCAGAGGAGCAGTAGGCTGTCCTGGGGCTGACTTCCTAAAGAACCAACACTCCTTCCACCCCAGCGGGGCCCGGCAGAGAGAACCTGCCCTGCACCAGCCATGCCCCAGGACCATCCCGCTCCCCACAGCCGCATCCCGGGAGTCATTAAGCCCCCCAGCCCCGAGGAGCCCACAGCACAGCCTGTCCCACAGCACCGTCCTGCTGGTCCCAGCCAGGGACAAGGCCCAGCAGGTTGCTTCAAAGCGAGGAGCCCTCCAGCATCCACCACAGCTGCTGCTTTATCATGAAAGCATTTCCATATCTTAAGTCATTCTTAGCTCTCCGTGGGCTTTTGGCTTTATCAAAGCTGAATGATCACTTAATTCTTCTATTTACTAGTTTTCCTCTCTCCCCTCGCCAGCCCTCATGGACCCAGGAGAGCAGCCGGTCCCATGCCACCCGCTCACCGAGGTGGCCACAGGCATCGCTCCGGCTCAGAGCCGCCTTCTTGCATGGGGAGAGATGCTTTGCTTTGCCAGAGCACACAAGCTGTGGAAGAGCCATGAAGAAACCACAGCCACTTCTTAAAACATGACTTAACATAGCGTTTTCAGAAGCAACTGATTTAAAAAAAAAAAAAAAATCACAAAGGTTCTTAAAGGCACAAAGACAATGCCTAAGTAGTTCCAAAACTGCCTCTACACCCACTGCTGCATTGCCGCCGTCTCAAACAGCTCCGCGAGCACTGAGCGAGCGACTCCTCGAGGTCTCCACCAGCCCAGCAGACACGCTCAGACCAGCCGGCGCAGGCACAGCCGACAGCGTCACCATCCCGGGGGCTGCCTGTTCTCCGGCCGGGGGGCACAGAGCCTGTAACCCCCCGTCCCTGCAGCCAGGAGGGGCTGAGCAGCACATGGAAGCCAGGACCTTTGGGCAGGATGAATCCAGAGTGGTTTCCATGATCCTCATGGCGTTTTTCCATCTTTTACCATTCATCTTTTACTTTACTCCACCTTTGACTTTTATTTTGCCCATCCCCGTTCCCATCCCGCTCAGCTCTGCCGCGTACCCACCCCTCAGTCCTCATTCTTCACCCACCCTGACACTCTTCCCGCTGCCCAGCGCCCTCTCCCCCTTACCACACTGCCCATCCCTCCCCAAAAAACAGGGCTGCAATGAATACACTTGTCATGACACCCAATCCTGGGTCCACGAACGTTCCGTGTTGCCCCCCAGCCCCCACGGACCACCTACCACCTCGCATTTATGCTGCACAGCAAGGTGGGATCCCTCCCAGCTTGTCCACAGTACCAACCTCGTTAAAGAGCTGACGTAGAATGGGCATCATTAACACTTAGAAAATTCAGTTCCTCCACGTTTTCCTCCCTTCTGCTGCCGGCTTATAGCTTCCCACGGGACAGTTTAATCTTGCCCAGCACGTTCACCATTTTCACGCACACAAGCAGTCAAAGGTGCCAGGAGAGTTTTACAGACCCTAAATCTCCCTAAATCTCCCTAAATCTGGGTGACCACCCTGGGGGAAAGAGATGGGAGCAGGACGATGCTGTCATAGGATATATGACCCTCATCTACTTTTAAATGCCTCTTGTCCAAAACATTTCCAGAGTCTGACCCTTTTCCTGACGGTAAGACATGCTGGAACTGGGGAGACATCAGACAATCATTGGAAGGATTTTGCCAGTATTTCAGCAAAATACATGACTACGCAGTTGCTCACTGAGTTGCAGCAGCAGGAGAAATCCCACTCATTTGTAGGAATTACCGCCTCCTCTCCTCCCCCATCAAGCCTAGCAGCACAGTCCTTACCCAGGCATGTCCCCCCAGGTCCGTCAGTCCTCAGCCCTCGTGGATGGGCGCCTGTTTGAAACACCCCATGGGTACCGAGGGCACCAGTGGGCTCAGCGGCAGGACAGGTTCTCGCCTCATCACCCCTCGTCAGCCCTGGCACCTCACAGAGCAGTTTGCATCGGCCCCAGGCAGCCGGTGTGAGCACCACACGTGAGGATGATCCTCCCAAAACCATTCGCTCAGGGCAGCGAAGTAAGTCGGAGCACAAGGTCTAGCGAAGAACTCGTGCTCCTCAAGCACCCAACTGCTTTTTAAAGTTCAACCTTGTTGCTTGAAGTATTTTCCAAGCAGTACACAAGGAGAGGGGGAAAAAACACCTACCTCCAACAGGTTTTGAAGGCCTTGAGGACATTTATTGCACGATAAAGCCCCTAACGCCAAGCAGACCTCACCCCAGACACACAAGGCTGCTTCAGGCTCCAGGAGCAGAAAGCCACCCTTGCTCACAGCCTTCCATCACCAGTTATGTAGCTCTGCTTCAGGTCCCATCTCTCCCTCTCTCTCCACCATTCTTCAGCTCTTTTTCTCCACTCCCTCCTTGTTTCTTTTCCCTAGGTGTCTTATTTGCTCCTAAAACTAGGGCACCCCCAGGGTGAGAAGATGATAGTTCATCCTCCCCTGGATTTAAGGTGCCCCAGGTGGGCAGATGTCTTCGCTGATCCTCACGTGGCAATGCCAAGGCTCTCCCTCCGACCTGATCCCCCTCTATACACAGAATCCTCCCCACCCTCATTCAGCTCCACATTTTATCAGGGCATTCCCAGTTATTCCTTTTTCCCCCCCACTAACAGCCTCCCTCCACCCATCACCCTGCTGCACAGTGGCTCTTAGGTCACTAAGGACACCTCCAGAAAAACACTTAAGTCCAAAAGCGATCACTGGCCACAGCTTTTCCCAAATTTTAAAATCAAGTGACATCTTTAAAGCCAGAAGCCGAACAAGTCATCAGCTGCTGAGCACTGGAAGCTTTCATGAAGGCACACAACACCAGCTCGGGCAAGCACAAGGCCATTCCCATGTGCCAGGAGCATCTCCCCTTATTCCTGAAAGGTTGAAGGCAGTTGGGAAGTTGCTTCTTTCCCCACGTCCTTGAGCATGGTGATAGCCCCACCACGTCGCACGGGCAGGTTATGGCGAACCTCTGATTACCAACATGGTCCCCACGCAGCATCTGTAAAAGCCACCATGGGCTGGTGATGGGCTTCCTAAACCTTCTGGCCCTGCTTCACACGCTGATGCAGCAGAAGAGTTCCTGGCTCCCCAAGGAACACAAGACCTTGGACCTTGCTCCCCAAGGAACACATCACCAGGCAGGAGTCTCTTGAAGGAGGTTTTACAGTCATAGCATAGAGCTTTTTTCAGAAAGATGGGATGGAGAAATGGTTCCTACCTGGGGAGAACGAGCAGCAATCCACAGAGGTACTCACTACCAACCTTATTGCTGGGGTGGCGTGTTAGGCAGAAGGAAGCCGTTCTGGCTGAACATGAACTCAAATCCCCAAATCCCACAGCCCCAGCCATGGTATTCCGAGGACTTCTCTCACCAGCTCAGCCCTGACACTCTTGTGCAGAACAGATTTAACGTAGGGCCACAGCCCAGCTCGACGCGCAGAAGCGAAAGCCTCTTGGTACGTGCAGAGGACCTGTGGTTCACGTCTCGCAGCACCACAGGTTACGTTCAAACCCGGCAAACAGCATGGTTACACTTGCTTGCAGAGCGGGTGAATTTGGCTCCAGATGAAGTCAAGCACTGATTTTCATTTCCGAATTCATCCTCCTTGCGATGCAGCACGTACTGACGTGTTCCCAGGAGGGATTACTTCCCACCTTGAGAGAACTGCTGCAATGATTTTTCTCTTCGACGCAAAACAAGGGTCTCCAAGGTGACTTCACTCAAGCAATTTAAGTCATATTAAACAGCCTTGCTCTCTCACCCAAGAAAACCGTTTCGGTACAGGTTTTTTGTTCTTTAAGCTACCTTCCCATGCCGATCTGCATGGGAAATCAATTCCTATCAATCAGCACCCACACACGAGGCAGGTGCCTGACCCGGCCCCGAGCCAACAAGCAAGCAATCTCCTCCATCCACACGCAGGAAAGGAAAAAAAAGAAAAAAAAAAAAAAAAAGAAGTGCCCTTCAGAAGCACTCGTGGTCAGATGGATGTGCTTATTCACCGCTAGCAGCTCAACTATTGCATAACGTGATCCAGGCAGATTTTCCCATTCTGGACTTTCTGCAATAATCTGAGCGCTGCGCATATGGGAGAGCACGTGGGCGGGCTGCAAAAAAGCTGAAGGGAGGTTAAACGTGGACATAGACCACACAGAGGCAGATGCTGCTGAATATCTGGGATTTTATTTATTTATTTTTTTTCTGCTCCCTCACAAAGCCCATCGATGGGATTTCACAGAATCACA